CGCCGCGGCAAGGGCAAGAGCGAACGCGGCGGCTCCAGCACGGCCCCGTCGAGGCGGGGGGAACTGACGCCCGGGGCAGAATTCCGTCGCGCAGGACATGAGTGGCGGCAGAGCCTCGCGAATGGCCACCGAGCCCCGCGCGTCGCTGGCAACTCGGAAACCGATGTTGTCCGCCCCCACCTTGACGAATTGACCGCGCAGCGCTGCGCGCACCTCCCGAACCGCCTTCAGGTCTGGGAAGGAGACTCGGGACGGGCGGTAGGGGGGGATCGTAAAGGGCAGGGTTTGGGATTTGCTAACATGAGGTGGGTGCTTATTACTTCCCAGCTAATCGTAGCAGTGGCGCGGCGACTCCTGCAATCAGACCACGCACCCTCGGCCTGCGCGCGCGCGCCTGGAAGGGCGCTGGGAGCACGCGCGCCTGCCACAATGTAGATGCACTTGGCGCCCTGCCCGCGTGCCCCGCCATGGCCGCGCGCTCGCGCGCGCACCGATGAACGCGAGATCGATCCACGCGCGCTCAACGCGTGAACGGGCAGCGCGCGAGAGGCACCCGCACGCGCGCGCAGCGGCGCATGCAACCGCGAAGTTTGCACGCGTGCGCGACGTGACTCAGCAGGGGTGTGTTTCCCAAAACGTGGGGGAAAAAACATTCACCCCATCCCTAACCCGCCCCCCAACCTCTTCCTGCTCCCCCCCCCCCCCTGCCCGCGCCCAACCAGCTAGATGGGGCCGATCTTGCGGGGAAATGGCAACGCGCAGCTAGCTTCGCGCCAAACTAGCTCCAGGCTGCTTGTTCGGCGCGAAACTAGCTGCATGGAGCTAGTTTCGCGCCGAGCTAGCTGCGAGCGCGCTGTTCGGCGCCAGACCCAGCTGCATGCAGCTAATGCTCCTCGACGCGCGCCTCGACGTAACAGCCCGGAGATTCAAATATGAGAACTATATGAAAACGGCCCAGAATCAGCTGCTGCAACTTGTTCCCCGCGCAAATCTGAGCGGCGCCGTTGATCGCGGGCCGCCCGCTGATCAAAGACAGCGCCCAACCAAGCGCGGCGCCCGCGCGCGCCCCAGACGTCGCGCGCGTGCCTTCGCCCGCGCGGCGCGCCCCGAGCCATTGACGACCCCCCCCCCCCCCCTATGCCGATTCTCCCCGGCGCTCCGACGCATCGCTCAGGAGGGCCGTTAAACCCATGGGGAACTGCGAAACGCGCGGAGAGCTCGTCTTCGCGATGCCACGCTCGCACGCAACGCCCGCGCCGCGCCTCGAAGCACGCGCGCTCGGATCGAAAGCGCCGCGGTCGAATGCCGGACCGCCTCGCCCGACCGCCTTGCGCCCGACGGCCAAGCGCCCGTGCCGGAACAGTGCCGCCCCAGACCGCGCGCTTCGAGGCTCGCTCGGTTCTGCGCCCGCTCTTGCGCCGCAGAGTTCGCGCGAGAAGCATGCTCGGGCGGAAGTGCGAAGGGTGGCGGCTGGAGAGAAGAGAGATGGAAGGACAAAGGAGAATCGGCGTTCGGGGGAAAGCAAGCGCAGCAACGCTGCTCGGCGTGTCAGACCAGCAGCGGGCATCACATTCCGAACCCCCCTTTTCCCTATCCTCTCCTTTCGTCCGGCCCGAGAGACGCGCGGGCGCCCTGTCGGGGCCGCCGAGTCCGTCCTGGCGAGATGAATGCGTTCTCCAAGCTCGGGTGGCTGACTGTTGTCGGTCTCGGAGATGGGCGAGCCCGCGGCGCCGCAATCGCGCGCTGCGATCAGTTCGAGCACCTCGCCGCCCCCTTTGCCCGAATGCCCCATCGCGATCAGGTCCGCGATGTAATCCGCGTCGGAGCTCTTCTCGGTGCCGAGGGAGCGGCCGGCCGCCGGCGCCTCCGAAGTTGCCAATGGCAGCGCTCATTTTGCCGCCACCGCGGGCAGCCCTTCACTTTGGCCGGATAGGCGTCTGCGAAGTAGCTCCCCGGCGCATCGCGCCCGCGGTGGATGTCCACGCGGGGGCTGCCGCGCCCGCATGCACCAAGGGTTTCGCGCGCGAAAATGCCAGCATCTGGGAAAACCTAAGGCCAGGGGCGGACCAAATGGCTCTGGGATCTTCTGACCTGGGTCAATCCAGACCCTGGTCAGCAGGAAACCAAAAAAACTGCAACGCAGGAACAAAACTGCAGCTCAGGTCCTCGCAACACCGGGTCAGCCAATAGGCGCGGCCGCCTCGCGGCCACGAGCGGCTCGCTAACCCGGGTCAGCCAGATGGGGTTCTTCGCAGGATCCTGCAGGATCTGGCGCCGTGGCTGACCCCCGTTTGCGTTGACCCCCGCCTCGAGGCTCCCGAATGGCTCGTAGGGGGCGTCTCCTGGACACAGGAGTCGGAGGCGCTGCAGATGCCCTCTCGCGCTCAAGAAAGATCAGCGGGCACCCCTGCGCGACCAAGACGATGGAACAAACACGTGGATGCTGAGATCATTGAAACTCGTCGGGGCGCGGATGTCAATGCACGCCCGCTGCGTGCTGGGCGTGCTCAGGAAAACTGCGCCGTAGGCAACGCAGCGCGGCACCCATGCCCCCCGCAACGCACATCAGCCGCGCGTAGACTTGAGGCAGGTCCTGTGCGCGAAGAAGGTCGATCGTGGCCGCTATTCTCGCTGGAATCTGCACCCGGGGAGCGCATGGGAAATGGATCTGGAGGGCTGTCCTGGGACCTTTGTGGTCGACGTGGAGGATTGCCGACCCGGGTTGCTCCAAGCGTGGGCCCGACGCGTGATCATTTTCATGGGCAGTGGCGTCACCCAGCAGTGCTGGACAATGTGGACCCACGTCGCAAGACCAGCACTAGGCCGACGGAGGCCACCATTCGGTACGATAACGGCCGGCGCCTGGGGGGGCGGCGCAGGAAAGAGGCCAAGCAGCGTGAAAAGGCGTTTTTGTCCTCAGGGGCCCACGAGACCACGTGCTCGCCCTTGCACCAGTCCCAAAGCGCAGCGCCACCCTTCTCGGCCAACCACGCGATGCCTCCGTCCACCTATTCTACATATCCTGCTCCACGAACTCCTTGAAAAACCTGCGGCTGGGGGCGACGGCGCAGTCCATCTCATCTTGCGCTGGGATGAATTCCGTGGCCGTCTGGGCCACGGGGAACGGTGGCAGCCCTAGGGCGGGCGGCGCGGCCCGTGGGTCGGGCATCTTCATCCAGGCAACGGCCTGCGCCAGCCCAGTACCTTACTCCTCCAAGTCTGCTTCAATGGCGTAAGCGACGGCCAGGGCTGCCGAATCCACGCCGGCGGCGGCCGCAGCTGCGCCGGTGACAGCCGCGGCACGCACGGCGCAGAAGGCGGTCCGGGCGTCCACGCCTCTAGCGGGGCACGTGGAGCTTCGTCCAGCCATCGCGGCGGCACTGGGAGCGAGCGCGGAAGAAAAACGCGGAAGGTGAATCAACATGTTGGTTTCGAGAGCAACCTCCTCTGGGAAAGCTGCAGGCTCTTCCTTGAACAACAATTCCCTGGTCAAGAGGCGGCTCTCGCTTAAGCGCCGCGCACATCATGTCTCCACGCATTCAAGAGCTTGACGCATGGAGGGCGGCTCCATTTCAAAATTTGGCAGTCGCTCAGTGCCGCATGCATTCGTCCCACGAACTTACAACAGTTTCAAGGATGCCCATGGTTACCATCCAGAAAACCTGCATTTTGGCACGATCTCGGACGGCCATGGGGGCAACAGTTACGTTAATTCGCGGTGTTGAAGTCCCAGGAATAGCTGTCTGGCACGGTTCAGGATCGTCGAGACGGAACAGTAACAGTGATTCACGGCGTCATGTCCCAGGAGTGGTGTTCTGGGACAGCTCAAGATTTTCAAACGGTTGCCTTCCAACGGGGCACCTCTCTCAACGAGGAGGACTCCTCGTAGCGGTCTATGAAGACCAGAACTTCGAGGGAGGGTCCACCGCAATATCGCTGATAAGTCTTGAGTTGCACTTGTCTTTTTCCTCCTCCTGCTCCTCCTCCTCCTCCTCCTCCATCCTCCTCCCCATTTTTGGGTCTGACGGCTTCCCAGCCTTTCTTCAACTGCGTGCCCACCCACCCACATGCCTGATCAGGGCAACTCGCCTGGACATCGTGTCTGGACGGTCTGGTGGGGTAACGCGATGCGTCCAAAAGAAGTAGGCCCTGAACGCTACGTATTCGAGGATGGTACCCTTGTCACCCATCGGCCTCGGGCGGTCTTCGGTGGCCTCCTGGCGGTCTTCGACGGTTGTTGCCGATCTTCGGCGCGAGAATGGATGGCTGGTCTCAACTGGGGCTGGGGTCAATGATCGACCACCTAACTATACGGATAGTTGTGATGCATCGGCGATGTCGGCGAAATATCGGTGACGTCGGCGTTGATAAAGAAAAAAGGGCTGCACATCAAGCCCCATCGCAAATACATCGGCGGTGCGGCGTGATCCTCCGAGCCCATGTGCTCCGACCCCATCTGGGAAACCTAGAATAACTGGAAAGTATGCCGGAGCACGTCGGCATGTGCATGCTGCCCGGCCCCTGTGTGCGGCAATATGTGCCCGCGCGGAAGCTCTCGCCTCAGAGGCTGCCGCGACAACTTTGTTTTCGGGCGCTCGGGGGCGGACCCTTCCCCTGAGGGACAGCGTTGGGGACAGACTGGCTCTGGCGTGGGAGAACGTCGACCTGAGCGACGACGAGACACGGGTTTACGTGCGATGCCATATCTATCTCACGCGGAGGCTTACGCGGGCCGCCAGCGCGGCACGCAGCGGTGGAAACGAGGACCTTTACGCGCGGCTTTGCACGGAAAACTTGCGCGCGAATGTCGGCACCTTCGTCGCTCACCTGGAACGAACGATACGTCGCCGATAGGAGAAAGACAGACCTCTGATGGCGAATCCGCACGATCCTGGGCGGGACGGGATATCGGTACCCTGTCGGCGGCGACGAATGGCCGATTTGGGGTCGATTCGTCCCACTCCCCCTTGAGCAGATCCCCCCCCAGCAGGCCATGGCACCTCCGCCCGCTGCTGGAAGAGGCAGGTGGCATCCAGCCGCGTTCCAGCATCCGCGGGGCGGGTCAGGCCCAGGAGGGACACCACGCGGGCAGCCTGAGGCGCGCCGTCGCTGCGCGGCGTCCAGGGGCGAGGGCCACAACTGCCAGGACGCTGTCATTAGTCCGAGTACCTTCGGTGGGCACGAAAAGGGAAGAATCTGCATCTCGGCCGCTGCCATGAAAGATTGGTGGGGTATATCTATATCGAACTGGTCAATCGCCAACGGATTGTACGTCGGATCGGGCCGCGTTGGCACGGAGACACTCGGATCGGCCAGGCCAGGATACACAACAACGCCATGCAAACATCGAGCCGTACTGGACCGTCGGAACATGGGCATTGAAACGGATTGAACCAGTCATAATGGACATCGAACATTATTTGGCGGCCGAAGACGGCGAAGTACCTAAAACACAGACAGCTTAACAGACGATTCAATCGGCGAAGTATGGGTCGCGGAGAAGGGCGAGTTGAGACAACGGCTATTGAAAATCGATCCCGACCCCTCATTGGGGCCAAACGCGCCAACTTTCCGAGCTGAGTCCTGCCGTGGCCACGGGGCCCCCCCCGAAGGCCAACTACTGTATTCACCCTCAATCGCGTTGATTAGCAGAGGGAAGGAAGGAAGGGAGACGCACCGTTTTGGCGACGACCGCGAGCACAGCCGCAGGCTCTCCGCCCGCCCATTCCTCGATGGGCGGGAACAGTTAAAAGTTGAGGGGTGGGTGGTGGAAAAGGCACAAGCTAGCTGAAACAGCTGCGGGAGGGAAGGAAGAGGAGGAAAACAGGGGAGCAGCCGTGCCGTGGGTGAATATCCCTGTATAAGCAAGCCTAAACAAAACTCTATTCACCCTCACTCGCGTTGATTAGCAGAGGGAGGGAAGGAAGGGAGACGCACCGTTTTGGCGACGACCGCGAGCACAGCCGCAGGCTCTCCGCCCACGCCCGTCCCGGGCCGCTCCCCAGGGGGTTCGCCCTAACGGCGCCCACCCTCCCTCCAAACAAAGATGGCCCTAGGGGTCCGCCAATGAAGGAAGGCGGGCCCGCCATCACCCCGCGCAAAACCCTGGGTGCCAAGCGCGCTAATCACAGTAGCGCGGCACCGCAACTAGCTGCAGCTGCAGAGGGGCAACGCGAATACTGGAAACAGCATTGCGGAAAACAGAATCCGCCCCTCCGGGGGGCACTGCGGGGCGGGGCTGCGGAAGGCCAACTCCCCGGGCGCACAGGGTCACCACTGCGGCGCGCCGGATCCAGCACCGTACCAACCGCTCCCGCCGCAGCTCTTCCGCTCCCCGGAGGGGGGCCTTCCACGGGTTACATCAACTGGGCGCCGTCAAAAACGGCGGGTTCCCCCAGATTGGAGCCCGAGGGGTTCGCAAGGCCGCAAGCCTGGTGCCAGCTGCCTGCGGGAAAAACAGGCATACGGTGAGGGGGCAGCACCCCTCCGCTTACTCATGCTACGGCCAGCCCGCCATGGCTTCCACGGGCACCCCCCCTCCCCACCTTACCGCCCCGCCAACCGGGTGGGGCTGGGAGGGGGCCCGCGCGGCAGGGGGGCGACGCTGCTCCCGCCGGGACTCCTCCGGGTCAGCTGCGCGCGTGGTATTCCTCCGGGGGCTCCTCCCGGAACTTGACCCGCCCCCCTCCCTTCTCGGGTGGGGTCTGCCCCAGGCGGTTCGAGCCCCCCAAGGTGAGGTTGTAGTTCTGGGCGGACATCGCCTCCGAGAGGCCCTTCTGGGGTTCGTGCGCCTCCCAGAGGTACGCGCGGAAGGCACCCAGCCTCCACCTCCCGAACCGCTTGAGCCGCTCCAGGTCTGGCATGGCGTGGTGCATGGCCGTGGCGCCTCCGATCCTCAGGGAGTGGCTCCCGATGTGCGAGGGATGCATCCCCACCGCCTTCGCCGCCTGGCCCAAGAGGTCGGTGATGTCCTTCCGCCGGATGGGGTTCCCATCCCCGTCTCGGAAGAGAGGGAGGTCTCCCTCCGAGGTCCACCGCTGGGGCGCCAGCCTCTCCAGCTCGGCGAGGGCTCCGACAGGGCAAAGGGGATTGCCCGTGGCGTAGTGGTTGCGGCAGCATCCGAAATCGCACTGGTCGGTCTTGCCCCCCTTGATGTAGATAACCACCTCGTCCGCGGACGCGAAGGTGGGGCAGACCGCGCCCCCCCTCCTCGGGGTGACATCCCTCCCGGGCCCGCTCCGCCGCCCAATCCCTACCCCCGGAGGTGTCGGCGAGGTACTCGGAGGCGCGCAACATAAAGAAGAAGGCGGTGGTGAGGGCGGCCCAGGCGGCCGCGTCTCCTACCCTCCCGGTGTCCAACTTCCCTTTTAGCCAGCGCGTCATCTCAATGGTGACAGGGTACTTCCGGTTCTGCTTGGCGCCCATCCTCCGTAGTCCCCCCAGCGCCAGCGCGAGCCTGGGGGCCAGCTCCAGAGGGTCCGGGTATCCCGCCGCGATATGGTAGTGGCGGACCGCCATCAGCTTTCCCCGGATCGCCCCCTCCGAGCGGTGTTGGACATGGGCCAGGTGGACGATCCAGTCTAGGAGCACGTCCTCATCCTGCCGCCGGCCCCCCCTCCCCAGCCCCGTGAGGGGCGGGCTCCCGCCGCGGGCTTTGAGGAAAAGGCACCACTGCCTCCGCGCAACGGCGTATGAGGTGCGTGTCCCCTTTGCGAGGTTCCCGAAGATGAGGCTGCCCCGTAGGCGCTCCCTCTCGTCCGCCAGGTGGCCTCCCCCAATCTGAGGTTGATCCCCCTCCGCCGTCAGCAGAGGGCACTGGGGCCCCGCCTGGGTCTGGGGCTTCCGGCCGCGAGGCGCCGCCGTGAGCGTCCCCATGACCTCCTCCCCCTCCTCCTCCTGAGCGAGGCGCCTCAGGCGCGGGCCCCTTGCCCCCCTCTCAGTCCACGTCGCCCCCGTCGGGGGGGTGGTGCTGGAGGGGGCGAGGGGGCCCCCAATCCCCCGCGTCCGGGGCCCCAGCAAAGGGGGGGGGGGGCCCGCCAAGTGGGGGCCGCCATGCAGGCCTGCACCTCCGCTTTGCGGGGTCCCTCCGGGTGGTCCTCCAGCCCGGGCCCCGCGGGCCTCTCGGAGCCACCGCTCGTAAGCAGTCCGGGGGTCCTCGGGGTTAGCCTTCCAGGCGCTGAACCACGTCGCGTTGGCCGCGGCCATGAAGTCCTCATCAGGATCTCGGCGCACCCCTGCCCGGGCTCCCTCCGCGAGGAGGCCCTCCCTCGCGCTGGCCGCTGCCCATAGCACTTGGTGCGCGGAGACGGGCGGCATGGAGCGGGCGGCGCCCATGAGGAGCACCTCCTCAGGGACCCCCGCTCGGGTTCCCTCCCGCCAATCGTGAAGGAGGCCCCCGGAAATCTGCCAGGCCTCCTTGGGGTCGAAGCGCCTCGCCCGAGGGGTGCCATCCCCCCGCGTATCTTCCAACGCGGGGTAGTGCCCGGAGACCTCGTCAGGGTGCCAGAGTGGGTAGTCGGGCCCGCTGCGCATCGGGCTAAGGATGGCCCTGACGTCCCCCTCCGACTCCCGGGTGCTCTTCCAGGTCCCGGCCGCCTGGAAGGCGGTGGGGCGCCCTCCCTCCCCGCGGTCGGCCCTCTCCGGGACCTTGAAGTGGCGCCAGTGGGCCCCCCCCTCCTCCTCCTGCATGTAGAGCTCCGGAGGGGCCGCCTCGGGCGTCAACAGGGCGCTGCTGAGGTACAGTGGGGCCAATCGCTCGCCCCGCCGCAGGTGTGCGAGCGCGGCGCCCCCCCAGTCCCCAACATCCAACGCATTGATTTTTTCAATGCGCTGGCGGGCGCATTGAAAAAATCAAACAGAGTCCCAAAATCAATGCGATTGAGAAAAATCAAGACATGTTGCATCGAGCGTCCCCAAACGAAACGAGCCACCCCAAACGAAACGAGCGACTCCAAACGAAACGAGCGACTCCAAACGAAACGAGCGACTCCAAACGAAACGAGCGGCTCCAAACGAAGGGGGCGAATTCTCAGCGGTCGCAGGCCTACGGGCCGCGGGTCTAGGTAGAGCCAGAAGCTCCGCTACCAATTTGCGGGCGCGGGCCGCGCCCCGCTAGCCAGAAGCTCCCATGCCATGCGGGCGTGGGCACCGAGCCGCGCCCCGCTGGCCTACGGGCCGCGCCGCAGGCCTACGGGCCACGGGTCTAGCTAGAGCCAGAAGCTCCGCTACCAATTTGCGGGCGCGGGCACTGAGCCACGCCCCGCTGGCCCACGGGCCGCGGCGTGAGCAAAATATATTCCTACATGAGGGGATTTCCGAGGGGCACAAAATATGACGGCCGCAGGCCTCTTGCATGAGCCAGGGTCCGCGGGTAATGGCGGAAGACGCGGTGCAGTGCAATAAAAAAGGATGGTGTGGAAGGTGTGGAAGGGTCGTCGTTGTCCTCGTCTTCCTGTCTGTCTGTGGATGGTGTGGAAGGTGTGGAAGGTGTGGAAGGTGTGGAAGGAGGAGCTCCTCCTGTCTGTCGTGGGCCACGGGTCGCACTGGGCGGCCAGGCGCGCTTGCCCCGCAGAGTTCCTCTGCGCCCCGCAGATCCTGATCCTGATGTTCCTCCTCCTCCTCCTCCTCCTCCTCCTCCTCCCCCTCCTCCTCCTCCTCTTCCTCCTCTTCCCGGCCTGCGCCCTCGGGCGGAGGAGGACGAAGCGGAGGAGGAGGGGCGACGTGCAGGGGAGGATGAGGGAGAGCCGAGACGTCTCCTCCTGTGCCCTCGGGCGGAGGAGGAGCGAGGCGGAGGGGGAGGGAGGCGCGTGGCCAAACCTCCCGCAGTTTTTTTTTCGACCAGGCCCCCTCAGCAGGACCATTTTTCCGCGCAGGCCCTAGGTCCAGAAATACACAGCAGGAAAAAAAAAAAACAAGCTTGGAGGCCTGGAGCGGGTGGGCGGTCGCGCAGGCACGGCCCGCGGAAGCGGTCGCGGACGCACGCGCTGTTTTGCCTGTCGGCCGCCTCGGGGCACTGCATCTTGTGAATAGTCGGGGCGTGGGGCGAGTGAGACATACGTGAAACAAGGGACGTGTGAAACATGTGAGACGTGTG